TGCCGGGAGAAAACTAGAAGCAGGTTAGGGCATGGGACCCATGTCAAGAGAATGCCTGTCCCGTTTAGGGCCCGAGGCTCCGCTCCCCTAATTGAGGAAGACACCTTGGCTCAGATACCTCGGTCCTTGGCTCCTCTCTCTGTTAAGCCGACGGGAAGGAGGGAAAGGTGGGCAATAAAACACGAGGAGTCCTGAACTCCTCCTGTGCAGAGCTGTCTTTCTGAGTTCCCATCTGGCAGCTGAGCCTGAGGGTGGGCCCCGCTCCCTAGCGCCCCCTGCTGCAGCAGAGCAGATCCGATGCTGCCATGGGCCCGGGCTGGAGCGGAAATCGTGGGCAATGCTTGCCTTGGCCCATTTGGGTTAGGGTGTCTGGGATACAGATTCCCAGGCCTGGGCTGCAGAATATGAGTAGAATGGTGATGTGGAAGGTGAGACTGAGTCATGGGCTATGATCTGTACTCTTCACTTTCGCCAGGCTGTGGGGAAGTGGGGAACCCATAGAATTAATTGTACGTGTCACAACAGGAGAGGATGTTAGAGCTTAGCCAGCCCAGCCTCTTGATTGACTAGCCCAGGAATGTGCCTTGGAAAACACACACTGCAGGGAAAGGTCAGAGCATCGTGGACACAGGGTGTGCAGGGGAGCAGGGCTGTGAGTTAGGGGACCCATCACCTCTCTTCTAGGCAACCCGTGAAAGCTTCAGATGACTGAGGGCTTAGCTGCGGCTTGAATAATTCATTGGAGGTTGTGAGGGACTGATTCAAGGGGTGGGCGATGAGGAAAAGAGTAGCGTGGTATCCTGGGAAGAGCACGCTCCTGAGGTACAGGGGAATGGGACGAGGACGTAAAATGTCGAGAGAGAAGATGGCGAGCTGCAGATTCAAAACTGGAGAACTGATCTAAAATTTCAGTGTTTTTCTGAAGTAACCAAAACAGTTGGACTGGACGTGCTGGAATCCAGCCCTGTACAGGAAGAACATTTTCAGAGATTAAAAAGAAGTGACTGCAGACTGAATGTGACCATCACATTTTAGGCACATTGAATAAATTTCAAAATTGTACATGCACCAATAGCAAGAGAAAAACAAAACCTTACAAATGAATATCGATCAGGCTTATTCCTGAGGCTCCTCCTCTGAAACCCTGGAGGAGCGCGGATGAATCCATGAATCGCTGTAGCCAAGTGATTTGAAAGGAAGGACGGTGACCTGAGAATGGTAAGTCCAGCCAAGTGATCGTTCCGACATAGAGGCAGTTTTGGAAATGCATATGATCGGGGAATATACCAGCCAAATGCCCCGTGTCTTAGGTCAAGCTCCCTGGAAAGCAGGTTCAGAGCCAAGACCAGGAGGCTTGCTGAGGAAAGCGAACTGCGCAGGGGGAGAGGCTGAGCTGCGGACAAGTCGCCATGGAGAACTCAGCCAGCCCCACGGGGAGTTCTGGGCTGCAGCAGCCCCTAGAGTTGCATTAGCCCAAATCGAGGCTGGGTGGCCTTAGCCCCCTGCAGGGACGGGTCACTGGATGTGGCTGCCCCGGAGCGTGCCACGGCTCCTTTCCACTCAGGGCAGGGACTCTGCTGTGACCATCAGCAGCTGGGGCAATGAGCCACCTAAATCCTGAAGGAACTCTGATGACACCTTTAGCACCACCTTGTTAGGTTTTCTTTTCTTTTTTTTTTTAAATCTGAAAGTGTGCTCTGGCCAACTAAGGGATGAATATGACAGTATAAAAGGACTGAAGAGTTTTCCTAATTCATGTTTAACACCAAACCCTGCGTGTTTATATATTGCAAGGAAGACACGGGCAGAGATTGGTTCCTCAGTTTCCACATCTCCTTCTTGTCCTTGCTCCCGGAAATGCCTTCCACAGCGTAGTGGAATCTCCTACTACCATGTATGACCCTTCGGAAGGCCAACTGGTACGTCCCCTTTCTATTTTCCTTAACGATGGCAAATCTGTTTACAAGGTTAGAATATTGTGCTGGAGGATCAGCAAAACAAATGATTTCTATTTCTCTTACGGAAAAGCAAAATTAGGTATAGCGAAATCACGGCCATCTTTTTGGGCAGGAATTCAGTGATGATTTGACAATTTTCTGAGTCTTTTAAGCCTTCTTGAGAATAGCGTAAATCCACTGTCTGCAGATTTATAGGAGACTGTGCCCATCTGGAAGGTCTGGGAACTGGGCACGTGAGGGAAAGTCTCACCTCTTATCTCACACCCTTCTTTATAACAAAGAGCACAGGAAGAAAGTACCCTCAAGATCATTCAGTTACCTCAACCATCAAGTCGATTCCATTATTTTCGTTCTTCGAAAGGGGAGGTGGATGGACCACTCGGCGGTGGGTGCTGTGTGCCCCAAGCTTCACGGTAATTTCCGCCTCGGGCCTGTGGATGTTTTCCTCTCAGCTGAGAGCAAAAGAGAGTGTGTGCAGAGGGGTCGAGACTGTACGTGGAAATCAGTGGATAGCAAAAGACCGATTCTAAATTATCTCTTAGAGGTAAAATTTCAGGTCATTTAAACGTTTTTATTGACATTTTACTTTTTTGCACTTTCTAAATCTTCTTCCATGAGCACATACCATTTTTATAATTACACAAAATAAATGCTCTTACAGGTCAATATGTGTGATTGTATATATACCATAAGAACACAAATAAACTCAAAACAAACCAACATATTAAACACTGTTATTTCCACACTAGAAATAGGCTTGTGTACTAGAGTAACTCCCGGCGGGAGGGCAGTCTGTGCGACCATCTCCAGGCAGCCAGTGGCAGAACTGAATCCAACTGGAGGACACCCAGCTGGTGTCTGCTGCAGGATTGACTGGCTGTTGGTGCAGACAAGACCCACACGCTTCTTGGTGACCAGAGGTCACAAAGCCCTGTGAGTTGATTGTTGTGGTGTGAAAGCAGAGGGAAGACAGTATGTGCTTTCTACTCATGGTCAGATTAGACCTTCCTTCCTCATGCCGTCTAGACCGCACCAGGTGGCTCAGGCCGACCTGGTCCCGAGGGTGCACGCTTTGGCCACCACAAGCATGCACAGCCAGTTGGCAGGATGGGCGGGGGTGGGGCAAGATTAGAACAAAGCCAAAGGCCCATGTACATAATGGGAATGAAATGGAGCCTCCACCCCCACTACCGCCCACACTTACTTTGCTCTTTTTCTTTTTTCCATAGCACTGATCCCCTTCTAGCGCTGTGTAGTTTATTCCCACTGTTTACCTGTCTCTCGACCCACCCACAGAGCTAAGCATATCTCTAGTGCCTGGCACATCAGACGGGCTTGGTATATACTTCTGAATCTGTAATTATCGGGGTAAAAGGATTGATAAGATACATGAAGTGAACAAAATTACAAGACAGCATATATAGCATAATTGTAATTAAAAAAACAAATGTGTGTGAGGGAACGAGAGTCCAGAAGATATAGTAGTTGTCAATGATGATTATAGACTTGGGGGTTGTGGGTTACTTTATTTTTTTCATTGTTATTTGGACTGTCTGAATCTTCCTTGGTGTATAAGTTTAACTTTTATGATCATGTAAAAATGTTTCTTTTAATTTAAAAGAGACAAAGAAGGGGCCAGGCGTGACTGTAATCCCGGAATTCTGGGAGGCTGAGGCAGGAGGATGGCTTGAGCCCAGGGATTGGAGGCTGCCATGAGCTATGATGGTGCCACTGCACTCCAGCTTGGGCAACAGAACAAGACTCTGTCTCTAAGAAACAAACAAACAAAGAAAAAGACAAAGAAAAAGAGGTGGGTTCCTGAACCAGCCATGGACAGCCAATGGGCTTGGGCGTGGGCATGGCTCAGTTGGTGCCAGGGTGGTCCAGCTAGTGGAGGGGCAGTCCCTGACTCTGCAGCATCACTGCTTCCTGGAAACATCACCACCACCCACACTGGTAGAGTTCCTGGGGATGCCCTCCTTTCGATGGGCCTGGAATCTCCATGTCATGATGCTCTTCGGTGAAGTCTTCCTCCCACTGGTCACCTCAGTCTCCCCAAATTAGGTGAAGCCTGTTGTGAGACGATGCGGCATTTTTATGCTGCTGTCGTTTGAATCTAGGCTTAAATGGTAAGTTCGCATATTAGGATGCGTTATAATTAAAATTGACTGTAGGATCATGTGCACATGAGCTGTCTAGAACATGGCTGCCTGCTGCTCTCACTAAGACCTGTGTCTGTGCCCTGTTATCCCCACAAAAGAAGGGGCTGCTTTCCAGAGCAAGGGTTGGCAGTCAGTGCCCCACTGCTTGTGCCCAGGCAGAAACCCGAAACTATGGGGGACAGCAGCGGTGACCAGACCAGCACATACAGGCCCTCACACTACCAGGTGTGCTAAATGTCAGAACAAGGGCTCTCACTGCCCCTCTGGAGTGTGACTCCCCCTGCCCCACCTGCTTACAGCCTCCATTCAGGCATTAAGTTGGACTCTAGTCAGACTGACCTGCAAGGAACTGGTGACAGGTCTGGATGAAGTGACCATGCAACTGGCTTCTGGGCAGCAGGTGGGGTGGAGGTGTGTGAACAGCAATGATGAGTGATGCATAGCCTTTCCTTCCAACTATACATGAAAATCTGCTCACCATAAGCTCTGGGAAGGTGCTACCAATTGATCATTATTATTGCAAGATGTGACCTCTTCACCATCTTAGGCTTGTCATTAATCTGTATATAAAATGATAACGCTTCACCTCCTGTGTCCTCACACTTCCTGCCTACTTGTCCTACCTTATTTTTCCCCATCACACTTGTCACTATCTAAAACGCTACACATTCATTAGCTCACTGTCCGTCCTCAGAGTGCAAGCTCCACAAGGCATGGACTTTGTCTACGTTGTCCTCTGCTCCATCTCCAGGCTGAGAACAATGGCTGGTGCACAGTAGGAGCTCGATAGATATTTGAAAGAGAATAAAGGAAAGAGAAAAACAGAAAAGGAAAGACAGAAGGAGGGAAGAGAGAGGGACAAGGCACCAAACACAAGAGATGCATGTTTATAAAGAATGTTTCCATTTATTTTATTATTTTAAATCCAAACTTGCATAAAATGGTTAACTGCATTTAGCTCCGAGCGTCCTTGTGATATGAACTGGAGACAGCCCAGGTCTGGACGTTTGCTCCTCACCATCGGGTCCAGTGGCCGCAGCAATCAGCCCTGTAACGCAGTCTGCATCTGTGGAGGCTGTGACAACCCTGCTGCCAGTGACTCGGTCACCCCTGGTGTCAGCAGGAGGGGACGGGGATCCAGAGTGCACTCCTCTCACAGCCCGAGGTCGTGGGAAAAGAGCGGAGCACGGAGAGGGAACGGAGGCAGGCTCCTGGTGCCTGGGAGAGCACTCTGGGGCGGGAGAGCCCGGTGGGGTTCCAATCTCCCAAAGGGATTTAGCTTAAAAGAGGACCTACAGGAAACTTAAGCCGGTTTCAGAGCAGCAGCGTCAGTTCTCTTCCTTCCCACACTGTGCTGTCTCTGTCTGTCTGTCTGTCTGTCTGTCTGTCTGTCTGTCTGCTGTCGCACACACTCCCCTGCCACTGCAGCAGGCCGGGCAGACGGGCAGCACCCCGTGGGTAGGAAGCGGCGCTGCTCACACGTTGGTGTGCTGGGAGCCCGAGGACGCCGCGCTGCCCGGCTGGCTTCTGCCCGAGGGCGCCGAGCTGGGGGCGCGGCTCCTGGCGCGCTCGCCCACGCCCGGGCTCCTCGCGGCCAGCCCGTCGGTCAGCTTGAGCTTCTCGTGCTCCTCCTTGAGGAAGAAGTCCACCAACAGGCTCTTCTCTTTCTTGATCTGGTCGCTGATGTCCGTGGGGATGTCTGGGATCATCCAGTCCACGAGGACGCTCAGGAACATCACGAGGTTCTGCCGAAAGCAAGGGACAGTGAGGAGGGCTGGGCGGGGAGGCCTGGCCTGGTGGTGCTCGCCCCGGGGCAGAGCGCCTGTGTCAACTGTGGCTCTGCCACTTACGAGCCGGGTGACCTGGACCAGTGAGCATACCCGGACTTCAGCGTCCTCATCCACACAGCGTAGGAGGAACAGCGCCAGCCCCGCGAGGCTGTGAGTGGTCACAGCACGTAAACGCCCGCGGCAGTGCCTGGCACCAAGCGAGGCTCCGGCAGTGCCGGCCTCCCTCCCGCAGGACTGCGGGGCCCCACCTCACAGTGTGCCCCGAGTCCTGTCTTGCTCCCCGGCCGCTAAGCCTCCAGCTCTCCCTGCTCCAGAGCCCCCTGGGAAGTGGCCATGAAGCCCAGTGTCCTCTCCTGGGCTGCCCTTGTGCCCTTGCTCCTCTCTTCCCTCCACCTGGCTCTCTGTGTGGCCTCTGGTCTTCGCGGTGACGTCTGGCCTCTGCCAAGCCCACCCGCAGCGCACATGCATGTGCACAGCTCTGGTTCACTGCGGCCACCGCAGCTCACCTGGCCTGGGGACCCCACGCCCGCTCGCCTCCATCAGTCCGGGCTTTGTGCACACTTGCAGCGGGCATCTTCCTTTCCAGCCGTGCCCCTTCCCAGTGCACACAGTAGCGACTCCCTTCTCCTGAGAGCTCTTTGAGGGGATGGCCATGTGACAAGGGTGCCTGGCACGGCCCAGTGAATGCAGCCGTTCTTAGAATCTGATTCTCATTCGTTCCCCCAAGCCACCCTGCTCCCGTCGCTGCCCTGCACACCCCACAATTGTCATATTCCTCTCCAACCGCCAGTGACACGCCCAAGTGCCTTCTCCCCTCTGGGATCCTGAGGACAGTGACTGCTCCTGGGGACTCAGGGGAAGATTCAGGGACCAGCGGCTGCTTCCAGAGGCTGTGGCACCTCAGGGTGCTGCACCTGGGTGCTTGGGAGCTGCGTCATCGAGTCACGCACTCTGCCTCTGAGCCCACTCCTCATTGTGAGTGACAGGTGACACGGGAAGCGGGGCGGCTCGTGTGGGTGGGGCAGCAGGGGGTGCCTGCGGATCTCTCAAACATATCGCCCCATCTCTCCAGAGGAAGAATGGCTGTCTTCTCAGGTGAAAGACTAGCCGATGGGCTTCTGCACTTCCTGGGCAGGGGTCGGGGGCAGGATACTTTAGAGCCCCCCAGAGATCTGCCTTCAGGGAGTACAAAGGCCTGAGGGAGCCGGAGAGAAAAGGATCTGGGCTTATGCTCCGGGCCCTGCTTGGAGCCCAGCAGGGCCCAGAGTAGGAACTGGGGGCCCTGGAGCTCGGAGAATCTCAGCGACGCAATTGGAGCCGTGGCTATTGTCCGAGATAGGAATCGCAGGCTCGAGTTTGCTATTCATTCAGGGCTGGCTCGCTGGCTGGCTCTGGGGCCCTTCCCACCAGATGTCTCGGTGCTTACACAGCACCAACAAAGGAGGGAGCTGAGAGCGCAAGAAGAAAGGTTCAGAACTCGAGCCCTTCCTCCGCTGCAGAGACGAGACGGGGCTGTTTGTTGGCGTCGGGGCCGAGACTCTGGTTTCAATTGCTCTTCCCACTTTCCTTTCTTCATCTTAGGTTTGAAAGGGAATCTATCTCCACCGGCAACTTACTCCACATCTGTCTTGTAACCTTACTCTCTGTTTTATTCTCTTTCTGCAAACTCCATCCATTAAAGGAAGCCCTCCTGAGAGCCCGCCTGCTTTGCCGGGGAGGGAGCACTCACTTGTGCCTGCCACCCTGGAAGGCTGCGTGTGTCACAGAGCACCAGGGGAAGCTGGCGGTGGGGGCAGGCAGGGAGTCACGACTGTCACCACTCCTGCAGCCTGGATGCCAATGGGCTGTTCCCTACCTGGACAACTCACCTGGAAGATGATGACAAAAGCCAGACGGGCAGACAGCACAGACCAGTACTGTTTGGAAAACTCATATGGGTTCGGGGACCAAGGTGGCTCTCGATAGTCCTTAAACCTGCCCAAAGAGAAATGCAGTGTTCAGATTGGGAGGCGGTGGAAAGCAGGGTGGTAATTCTCTGGGTGAGACCTCCAGGGCTGGGAGGCAGGAGAGCCCTTGGCTCTGGCCTTGAAAATAATGGGAGGTGGGAGGAATCCATGGCCCAAGCTGCAGATGTCTGTGGAATAAAAGGACTAAACTCCCAAAAAGCCAACATCAGCCTAGAAACGTCTTTTTCCTATTCTCTACAACATCCTCCAAAGCTTCCTCTGCTGGCAGGATTCTATGGCCAGAGGAGCCCAGGGGTCATGATAGTAACCCAGGCTAGTGAGACCAGACCATGTTGGCTCCCCACCAGGCTGTGGGCCCTGCGAGTGCAGGGGAGACCCCCAGACACCTCCCACAGTACTCTGCCGCCTGCAGGCTCTGTGAAGATTCAGGCAGCAGCTGGCAATTCTGAGCTTCTACTCTGGGCTTCAGGGCCATGGCCACCAGAGGTGCTGGCCTTGAGGCGTGGCTGCATTCCTGCACCAAAGGAAGGCTGGTCCAGACCGAGCTGGACGCTGGTGAATTCGGGGTGGGAGAGTCAGTAATATTCATAGTCGGTCAGGGTTCTGTTTTGCTAACCATCGTCCTGATTTGTCCGTGTGATTTAAAAAACAAAAGGTCAATGCCTGCCATGACCTCCTGCCTATTTCTCAGACCCATGGAGAAGCCTTGGGTTTCCCTCATTCTTCTTGCCTTTTCACCCCATTTCAGAATGATTCATGTTAAAACTAGCTCATTTTCTCAGACTCACATTTTTCTAAGCCTAGAAAAATGACAAGGGCTGGTATCAGAACTATAACTCCTCATGGAACGGTTTTCTCTCTGGAATTCAACAAATCTTTGATGCTCAGTAAAAGCAAAATGAGTCGTGGGCTGCAGGAAGAGGTGAGTGGTGTCAGGCCACCAAGCAGCGTGTGCGGCTGCTGAGGAAGGCGGGGACCCACCCAGGGAGAAACTGGGAAGCTATTGTACACTGAACATGCGGTATGCGTCAATCCCTGAGCAGAGGGCTTTTCTGGAAGGTTTTGCATTTAGTTTTCACACCAACGTCTGCAAGCAAGCATCACCACCCCGAGTAACCCAGGAGGAGCCCGAGGCTCACGGCCGTAGGAGGCGGAGTCAAGGTGAGAAGGCGAGTCTGGCCTGTAACCCCAGAGCACCCCGTCAATAGCTGCAGTTTTGGGGGGACTCAGAGGTGGGTGCTCTTCGGTCCTCCCCCTGCTCTGAACGAACCAGCTTCCCTAGGAGCTCCATGTGAAAGCATGGTGGCTTCCAGTTGTCCAAGGAGAGATGGGAGAAGAGTAAAGAAAAAGAAGAAGAGGAGAAGAGATGCACACAGAAAGATAGACAAGGCACAGTGACAGTCAGTGACAGAAGGAGACAATCTGAGAAGTGGACACAAAGCATTCGGCTAGGTTTTGGCGACTTGCCAGGAGCTGCCCCTCCCGCCCGACTCCCCCTCTCCCAGCAGCTGATCACAGCTGTCGCGAGCCCGTCTGACATCCGGATGAAAAGGCAGAGCTATCTGCAGCCCAGCAGAGCAGCGCGGGGGTCACCACACCCACCCGTGGCCGAGGACAGAAACGCGGCCAGCGGCGGGCTCTCCGTGCCGGGCAGAGAGGGACAGTGTGGCCAAACACATAGGGACGTCTTGGGGTGGGAAAAACCGAGACTCACCTATCCTCCTGCTGCCCCCAGAAAGGACTCTATGGCAGAAAGCAGGTTATCCCATTCCTCCCAAGACTGCCAGAGGAGGCTCACACACACACACACACACACACACACACACACACACACACACACGCGTGCACACACAGACACGCACACGCTCTTCACCATGACATGCACAGACAGGCGCACGCGCACATGCTCCTCACCATGGGGAAATCCTTCCCCAGGTTCACCCCAACCCCTCCTGCCGCAGTGAAAGTGCATTTCTCTTATTCTCTAGCTCCGTCTAGGAAGGAACAGCTGCTCACCGACCTCGGCATGAAAGCCATTGCTCACCCTTCTTTTTTCCAGTCTGAAAAGAATCCATAAATAATCTAATTCTGGTTCCACCTCTGCTACTAACTCACCCCAGCCTTTGGAAATGTCACTTTGCCCTCCGTGAGTGTCCAAAACATGTTTTGAATCTAACAGGCACATCTTTCTAGTAGGGGATCTGGGGAAAGATTAACACAGAGATCTGTCCAGAAAACTCCACTTGAAAATATGTCTACACAGACAGGCTAAGAGCAGCTCTGTTAGGAACTTAAGGGCGAGCTGAGCCATAGAAAAGAACAATGAGCAATTTAATGAATTATGCATCTGTTCACATTTCTCTTTCCAAAGCTAACTTTTAAAAACTATGACTTACAGTGAGAAATATATTTTGCACGGATGCACATATACATATATATTACTGAAATAAAGAGTACACAAAACATACTTATCCTTGCTGTGTGCAATGCACTGATATTTTTCTATTCTATTCTTTTCCATTCTTATCCTACCCCATCCTATTCTTTACAATGCTGATCATGACCCACTAAAGTGATTTTATAATTCACTAATGAACTATAATTCACAGTTTGAAAAAAATTGATTCCGGTAAGCCTCTGCTACCAGGCAAATGATTAGTTGTTTACAATCCGACATAAGTTCAGATTTCATAATTGTTTTTCAACTTCACCCTAAGAAGTCAGGCTTGTCAAATGTTTTTGCTAAGTAGCTAAGACACTAATTAAAGAGATAAATTGCTTTAAGAATAGAAATGTTCACAAGAGAGTGGCAGATGGACTTAATCATTCCCACCACTGTGCTAACGTTGTGGTTTGTTCCTAAGCCCAGAGCTTAGCATTGATACAAGTTTGTGCGTGAGAGTCAGCAGGTGAGGGTTTGAATGCCACCTCCACCCCTGTAGTTCTTCCTCCTGCAAGTTACCTCAGGCTCTGATGCCCAATGTCCTCATCTACAAAACAGGCCTGAACTTCCCATCTCACAGAGTGGTTCTGAAGATGTGGCATCAACACAAAGTACTCAGCACACTAGCTGGGACATCAGAGGAACCCAATACATAGGAGCTATTCTTTCTCACTTTACTGAGGGTTACTTGTGAAATACACTCCTTCTGTTAAGAGGGCCAGAGCACATACACCACTGCTCCCAGTTCCTCCTGGCTTTCCAGGAGGATTTTTGAACACTCAAGCACTAAGTACTCCAAGTTTTCCGTAATGCTGATGCAGATCAAAGAGTCAACGGATGACACAACTGCACGGGGCTTCTCTCGGGACCCACGTTCAGGTAACTAGCATGAGACTGCAAGCTGCAGGCTGGTGAGTGGAGGCCCTGCAACCTCGGCAGTAGAACTTCGGGTCCATTTCTGGGCTCCATACCAGACTTGCTCCCCTGGCTTGGGGAGTCTTGGACCCCCAAAGTCCCACTGAGTGGTCACAGTGCTGGGTGCAGCCACACACCAGGGCAGCTTCCTGCATTTGCTGGCTGTGGCTCCCAGAGGAAAGCAGGGATTTAGCCTCAGGGATGCCATTTTAGAGGCGTGCCTAGATGTCACCCTCACCCCTCTAGTCCTTCTTCATTTTCCTTGAGGCTTAACATTAGTTTTCAGAGTTCCCCTGTGTCTTCTAATAAAGAAAGACTTTCAGTAATGAGACAACCAGAATGTCAAAAAGCAAGTCTGCACTTGAGGGGCTGTGCTGCTTACTAACTGCCCAGAGTAAGTTATTTCACATTTCTGAACCTCGGCATCCTGACCCATAAAGTGGAACTACCAAAACGTGTAGCCCAGGGCTCAGTGTATAAAATCCCTCAGCCAGGAATAGATGAATAGGTGTATTCGTGTGTGTGTGTGTGTGTGTGCGCACTGAATGTTAAAGGAAGACATAGAGAGACTTAAACAAGACGATACATGTGAATATGATTTCTGGAGGCTTCCACAGAAAATGAACACATGGTTTCCTCTGGGAGCGAATGGCTGGGGGTTGGGGCTGAGAGGAGAGACTTTTCTTTTCCTTTTATATTCACATGCAGCATGTGTCTATGAAATCACTGTTATAATAAAGAAGTTCATGATTTAAAATAAGAATATAATTAATGGCAATATTCAGTTAATCCAAATACATTTTTATACTAAGCTTTCAAACAAAATTACATAATTTCAAACAAAGTGTTATCTTGGACAGACTCATATAACAAATGAAACTGGTATAAAAATCAACACTATATTTTAGCTTTAAAATTATATTAATATTTTATCTAGGTTGTTCTAACTTTGCAAAAAATCTCATTGACTGAATTGAATTTATATGTTACTTAAATAAGGTTCCCATTAGCTCAGAATGTATTTCATTATTATAAAACAAACCCATGAAACAATACCTTAAAGTACAAGTTCATACTATGTTAACAAATAGACAAATGTCTAAAAAGATTCCCACATAAGTACCACATGTTCTGCAGGGAAGATGCCTAAGATTGGGCAGGGGTTGGGGTGGCGGAAGAACAGAGCTAGAGTGGTTACCTGGCATGTCTAAAATTTGTGTCAGAATAGACTAATATATTACATATGTCATTAAATATGTATGAATTTTTTTAAAAACAAAAAAGAATCTTTGAAGATTCTTTATTCTAAATCTCCCATTTTTACAGATAGGGAAACTAAGGTCTAGAGAGGGAAGAGAGAAACTCCTGGCTCAGATGTCCCCATCCTGTCCTCACTTTCAGGGTGACCAGTGCTGGTGACATCTGCCACAACTCATCACAATACAAAATCACTGTGGGCTAAAGCAACCCACTGAGCGATTGGTCATCAACTATCGGTAGTGGCTTTTTAATGAGCTTTTGTTATACAGTGAATCAGTTAGTAAATACATTTCTCAACTCCAAACAGTGGCACATAAAAAAATCTTTTTAAAATAGCCCTAGTAGAAATTAAGGTCATATTAATGTGGACACAATTACATACAATATTT